AGGTAGTCGAAATGTCTGCTAAAGATACTTAACTACCGCCTACTTCTAACCGGGATGTTTGCGAGTACAGGAGGAGATTGAGGGGGTATTTAGCAATGGCCAATAAAGGTATGATCAATCCATGAAGCCGCTGACTGTTGGTTTGAGCCATAACAAGAGTTGCAAACAAGTGGATTGGGGTCGTGATTAATGGTTGAAGCTGTTGAGTAACATAGCTCACAATCAGTCACAATGACGCATATTCAATCACTATTTATCGTCTTGTCAATTTTGAGTTCCAGTATCCCTTCATATACGTGTTCCAACTCTGTCTATCCATATCATATTCTCACAGTTTAGTCTCTCCCAACCGTTGTTGCTACCTTGATGTGATGGTCGGGCTTGTCTATCGTAATGAACCAATCGAGCTATACTGGCTGCAACAGTCATTCCTCAAGGTCCTACCAAGCCAGACAGGTTGGTTGAAGAGCGGTAAGACTAAAAGCACCAAACACAAGGTCCGAAGATTAAGTCGTACTGCCTACTATACAGAGGTGTGACAGCAGTAAGGTGTTTTCTTCGGACAATCAGCGTAACAGCGACGCTTTCTTCCCACAAGGAGTGGTGGTGTTAAAAAAGTTCGACCCTAACAAAGTACAACTCGCCTTATCCCACGGACATCCGTTTCTGGAGGTAATGTCGCAACAAGTACGGATATAACACGAAAAGTACTCACGCAAAGGTCGTGTGTGACCGACCTCGAGCAGTTGTATCTTGGACACTGCTCTTATGCTCTCAGGTCACTAACCCAATTCCCTTTTCGGATACCTCTAGAAGAACCTTTCCACGGTGTGGGTAACCGGGAAGTGATAAACGCCCTCATACCTCTAAAAGCACTCAAGACCATTGTATTCTTAGTTTTTTCTCTTTCCTTATCATCCTTTTCATTATATTTATCGTACAATACTGACCAAATATTGCAAACTGAACCAATGCACGCTTGCGCTAGGTTCTACATTGATGACGTGAGTCTGTTTTGAAAGTAACAATATCTATAACCATGATATTGAAAAACATGTGTTCATATCCCATGTATGTTTCTTCATGATTCAAATACCCTGTCTGTTAATGAGTGCTAATTATTGTCAGTCAGTCAGCTACAACGTAGGACCAGGCACATATATGCATCGGTCCAAGTTGCCATACCTCATTAGCACAACAAGATGGACACCGGATTCATAGGAGTAGTTCAGTCAATGATGGTAATATATAAAAGAAAGATTGCATGTAAGGATATAGTACTGAAAGAAAGATCTAGTACGTAGAAGGAAAGATATGAAGGGATTTTAATCTCATCGTTTAAGGGAAGACATAGAGCGTATAGACCGACACCATTGTGATCGATTCTGAGCCATGTTACCAAAAGTCTCCAACAATTGGTTACGATAGTCACGCGGACCCCAACCAAGTAGTCTGCATCTCCCAATATGGCTCAGACTAGAAGTTAGTGACTTCAGGCACTGATGCCACGTTTTGGTTTGGCCGCCCCTAACTCTCTTTCAACCATCCCCAACACCGGCTAGCATTGCACGTCGTGGTAATCGGTGTTCAGGCATACGTAATACGTGGCCCAACCATTTCAGTCGATGAAGATTCATAACCTCATCAACTGATTTACCATCATTCCCTAATACCCTGCGTCTAACCTCATAATTACTTACCCGGTGATCCCAGCAGATGCCAGCAATATTTCTAAGGCATCTGTGGTCAAATACCAGTAGCTTACGAGTGTCTTCTACTCTTAATGGCCAAGTTTCGCTACCGTAAATTAAAACAGAACTGAATGCTGCGAAGTATACTCGTCCTTTTGTTGATAGACAGATATCTCGCCTCCGCCATAGGTGACATAAGTTGGCAAAAGCCAAACGAACTTCCCAAATCCGTGCTGAGATTTCGTCAGACACCAACATATTAGGGCTGATCAGATTTCCAGGATAAGTGAAGTTGTCAACGCGTTCAACTACTTCACTCCCTATCCTTAGTTCAGGTGTTGATGCAGACCAGTCCTGAAGCAACAACTTGCATTTAGAGGGAGAGAAGCTCATCCCAAAAATTCTGGCATTGTTGCTTAGTGCTACCAAAAGACTCTGCATTTTATCAGTGTCTTCACCAAACAGAACTATGTTATCTGCGTATTCTAATTATTGTGAAACTGAAAGTCTTGATTTTAAGAAAGAATAAGTTGCAAGAAATTTGAAAAAAATTCACAATATTATGATTGATTTTGACATTTTCTCGCACAACAATGACCCAACTTCTCCATACAATTGAGATACGCAGTCAATGATTTCATGGAATGGTCCCATGTCTAAATCTGTTAAATCTCACTTTTTTAAAGCAGTTCAGTCTTTTTCTGTTCTCAATTTAGCATCTTACACCAGAGAAAACAGTACTTAGATATATATATGTGACAATCATTCTATTTAATATCCTAGATTAGCTAACTAAAGTTGTTATAATCAGATTAAAGAAAGTATTTCGTCCCTTATTTCCCTAGGACACATCATTTGTATATGTCACAGTGAAACAACTGTTCCGAAAGTCATCGATATTTTCCAAATCAAGCATTTATCTATTCATTATAAGCAAAGACGGATAGTGGTTAGGAGTGGAGTCCAGGAAGCGCGTTTCGTCCAATTTAGGACTCGTCGGCTAGATGTACCTGCATCTGAGAGTTGATATTCACCCTGGGATTCGAACCCAGTATACCATTCGTTTCATACACCATATCACGTTATTCACTTAGCTTGGAAAGATTCAAGTAAACAATACCAAGTAAATTTATCTATCCAATTGTGACAAAACAACAACAACAACAACAAAATTTACTAACAATAACTTACTATAATTAAAGATGAATTATATTGTATTCTATCTATTTTTACTTTCATATGTAATACATCATCATTATTAAAATTTGCATTAAACTGAAACATTCTAATTTTGTTGTTTATTCTTATCTACACTTGATAGTGTAAAATGATTGAATGAATTTAAGTAGTATATGTGTTTAATAATATTTTCTATCGAAATATTGATCCTTGAACTAAACTATTTTTGTTTTCCATCAATTCACGTGACTTGATATAAATTTTACAGTTTTTAAACGAAGAAACAATAAACTGATCAGGATCTCTCTATTACATATTGTTTATTGATTTATTTGAACATATACATACTGGTATAAAGGGGCATCGAATACATATGCACTAAACAAGTCACTTGATTTGTGGTTGGGCCGATTGCCCAGGTCGAAGCAGGTGGTTCTCTTAAGGGGCTACAATCGGAACGTTCGATTTAGATGTCTAATTAATTATAGTGAAAGCCAGAGCGACTTATGCCAATCTGGGGCATCTTTGGTGCCCTTGTGACGTTAGTCTGGCTGTAAAAGGTTGGATCTACAACGTGTCGGTGAGAGCAGTTTTGCTCTTTGCTTATGAAACCTGGCCTCTCCGAGTTCAGCATGTTGGATGACTCTCTGGGTTTGATCAGCGTTGTCTCCGAAAAATTGCTGACGTATAATGGCAACAACATGTTAACAATGTAGTGGTTCGGCATCATGTGTTCAAGCACGGCGATAATAATCCAATCATCACTATCTTGAAACATCGACTTCGATGTGTTGGACATGTTCCACGAATGTTGTCCCAGAGAATTTCACGTCGTGCATTATTTACCGACGCTAAGACTGGTTGGAAAAATAGGATAGGTGATCAGTGTATGACATGGTGTCGTGGTATGAAATAAAGCTGCAAAGGACTGGCTTGTGTCGGTCCTTCATGACTCCCTAATTGCGGACCTAAAGATGGTGTAACACAGTAGCTAGAGACGTTATCAGATACGGTTCGGAATAAAAGCCAGTGGAGATCCTGCTGTAACTTTCTTCATAAAAAATGGACGTAACTTCTTTAAGTGGAAGAACTCGCTCTGGCTGTACTTTTGCTAATTGAACTGTCTCTCCCATTATTATTATTATTTCAATGTTATACACTAATTTCTGTTTATTGTTGTACGTCTTTTTTCTTATACGCACCTTGCATTCTTTATCTCTCTACATTCTCATTATTATTGCATGGCGCATATATATTTGATGCCCCTTTGTACTAATATTTATGTGTTCAAATAAATAAATAAATTGGTCTAATACACAAGGTAGTGGAACAATGTAAGGAGATGTTGTCCCGTGGTAGCCGGTGACCAACAATTGGATCATACACCATTGGTTTGGAATTAGAGTTCTCCAACTTCCTTAAATGGATCCTCCATATCTACCAACCCGATTAAAGCGCTGGACATTCGCTTTTCGTCGTCCCAAGTTCGCAAACAACAGTAATGCCGCGAGAAGGCAGTGAGTAGGACTTCCATGCCAGTGGCTGCATACGCGCGACCATGTGAGAGCATTGCGAGAGGTGTAACTGTCTCTCACCACCCTCGGTCCTACCAGGGCATTCGGGGGCACAGCAAGAAGGGAATTATAGTCATAACAGTTTTAGAGGTAGAAATTAGAAATGATTCCAACTTTTCGTTCGTTAGTCTAGTATGAGTATCGCTGAGATTTTTACATACAGAAATTCCTTTTTTAAATATTGATCATGTGTTTACTAGCGACTAATTTCGAGAGGTAATTCACGGAATTCTAGTAAGAAGCAGTGGCCGGTGGAGTCCATCCATTTCCGCTGCAAGGTAGTTACCCATCAACAGCATTGGAGACTGATTGCGAGAGATTAAAGATGTGAAAGCTGGATGCTCACCCAGTTTTCTGAGGATTAGACACATGTCACGAAACTGCGTTCGATTCCAGGTAGGGTCGTGGATATACATTGCTTAATTTTCCCGTGCTAAGATTAAACAATTGTTTAGCATTCAATGGTTACCGAACTAAGGTCACTTTAAGATGCGAAGCACAAAATTAATAATTAAGAGACCAAACTTATCAGTTAGACATTATCAATTCAACTCACTTCTCGAATTTCTTTTAACCATTCACCAAAACTTAAAGGTACACGTTCCCCACTAGCTGTACCACTATCAGTTGTCGAATTTAATCCAGTCGCTACTGATGATGATGAGCTTGCATTCATAGGAAACGGTGATACAGGGTAATATACTGGAAAACATAACCAATATGCAATTTGTGGTGGTATATTCTCATTTCGATAAGGATACATATATGACGGAAATCCAGTCCATAGATATGAATTCATATTTTCAGCAATGTTAGCAGTATTGCTTTGAGTAGGAGAAGATAAAGAAGGCATTGCAAATGGAGTAGTAAATGAAGAAGTGGACGGTGTTAACGATGGATTAATTAGATTCCCAGATGATAAGTTCGATTGTGATGTAATGCCGGAGAGAGAATTTGTATGATGATCATTATTGTTAGCAGTAGTAGTAGTAGTAGTAGTAGTAGGTGTGTTTGAATTAGTGAATGCTTTCTTATTCCTAAATTCTTCCTCACTCTAAAAGTGGAACCAAGGAAAAAAAGAAGAAACAATGATCATTAATTAAAGTGAATTGATTAATTTCATTCAGACTTAATATATCCAACTGAGTACAGACAATTGATATTAGCTAACTGACATAGAACTAGGAAGAAATGACGGCGTAGCATTAGACCATAAAATCATTAGTTGCTGTTGAAGTAACCTTTGTTGATACATTCAAATTTAAGTGATATTCTTCATGAAGTAAGCGATGATGATGTTTTCTAAAATGACAATAAAATCTCTGCAATCCAACCGTTTAGAATAACAGACTCGACATTAAAAGCATCCATCACTTGAGCAGCAATTCTTTCCATCATATTGAATACGAAGTCTACTTAGAAATTCACACTTAAGTACGTTATTCTAATAAATAGGTTGTTATGTAAATAATACCTAACTTGACAATCTGAAAAATTGCACTGATCCTGAAGAGCAGACTTTAAGAGAAAACTAAAACAAAGTCGTTTTTCTTTGTGAACAACTACTGATAACGATTTTACGAAGATAACTCTAATTTAGGGATACTATTCATCTGACGACTACAACCACATGGTAAAATAGTTCCATAGATTTCAACCGAATAGTATACAGATAGTATACAGTCAATAGCTTGATCCATTGATAACGCGTCGTTAATTGGCCGCCCTAAGCTTTTTTAGACCAGAAACTAGTATTACACTTCAAACTACTGCGGAGGGTAAGTCATTAGACAGAAAAAAATCCAAAATTCATAGACATAATTTCATTTATTACCTCAAAGAGAACAAAAACGAAGATTGATGAGGAATAATAAATGGATTCATTCTATTTCGTTAGATTCACATCAACTGCTTACGGTAAGTCAGTAACAACGTAGAACATCGGACGTACATACATCAGTTCGAGTTGCCATAGCATATTAGCACAGAGATGCAGTTGTCGATACAAATCCCGTAGTGGTAGAGGTAGTAAGAGTAAAAGCAGTAAACTGCTTACAACCTATTTAACATTTTACAAATCAACGTTATTACACATATTGACATAATTAATACATACAAGGGTCATTACAGATGATTATGTGTATCATGATGTAACAAAGATTCGATTAGGGTCAATAAGGTCATAAGAAATTGTTTGTTTCAGATAAATAAAGTTTTTTTGGGGGGGGGGGAAATTGTCAGAACAACCAACTAGTGATTAGAACTCAAGGAGTTCATAAACATTAGACGATGGTGTAATTAAGTAACTGAAAATAGATTAATGGTAATGAAGAAAGATATGAATTGAAGAAAACTGACAATCAATCAAAAACTTAATAATCTCCACAACCCCTATACTAGTAATCAACATGTGCTCACTAGTGACTAGCTTCGTGAGGGAATTCTCGGAGTTCTAGTGAGAAGCCGTGACCAGTGGAGCTAATCCTTGTCGGGTAGAGACAGTTATCTACTTAAGTACAAAGGAAGTTGGTCGCGCAATTTCGTGGATTGGTTGATGTTAGAAACTATCACCATTGGATGCCGGCTCAGTTGTACAGTTCGTTAAGCGTTCGCGCGCGAGACCGAAGGCCCTAGGTTCGATTCCCGCTCGCGGGATCGCGGATGTGCACTGCCGAGGAGTCCCACAATGGGACGAAACGGCCGTTCAGTGCTTCCAGGTTTTCAATTGTGATGGTCTAACATCAATTGGTTCAAGATCTCAATCAAAAACTTTATAATCTCCACAACCCCTATACTAGTAATGATGTAATCAACAAAAGTGGGGGTGTAATGTTATCAGGGTAAAGGAAGATTTATAACTGCCTCCTTCTGGATACATGGATCTGGTTTTAGACATCTGATTGCTATCGCTTCTGCAAATTTCAAAAGATTGGAGTTTGATTGTTTATTAATCACCTTGAATGACGTCAGTGTATCATCTGTGGTGTGTACTGCTTATATTGATATAAGTGGTATATGACGCGAGTTATAAAACGTAATGTCTGACAGCAGAAGATGGGAGAAGATCAAGAAAGGAAGTGTGGGAACACAATGCAATTTGTAAGAAAACGCATGAAAAATGAAATATGAGACAATGGATTGATGCTTGCAACAGGAACAGTCCAGGTTGATATGATGGATTGATATTTTGCAAATTAACGATTTGTTATATGGTTCTTCTAGTTTACCAAGTAACTCTGTAATTTTATGTTAAATACATCTGCTATAACTGTGACGGCAGCAGATTAGAGGGTGGCGAATTATTGATCGGACCAAAGACGCGCAAACACGTAGAGCGGCCTAGGGTTCTGATTGGTCCCGCTTCCCTGTCTAGCCCAGCCAGTTGAGTCCAGAACGCAAGTCTCAGCCTCGGATATATGAATCACTATATTTCAAACACACTCTGTTTATATACTAATCAAGTAGACCACAACATACCATAAAATAGAAAATAACATTGTTGTTATGGCCTTGTGATGTCTGATTTTTCGATCACACGACTTATCTACCAATCCGAATACGACTTATACGAATCTTCACACTAGGCCAACCAATGACGTTCAACCGGTGTGGGGAGTTAGCGTCCTTATTGGTCCTATGTCCTACGAGCCCTTCCACTTGAGTCCAGAACAAGATACCAGCTTCCGAATCAGAGCAGATCGTTTATTTCAGGCATACTTGGTTTATATATCAATCATACAGACCGCAACGTACCATAAAATAGGAAATAATATTTGTACACAAATAAGCCCAAAAAGTGGCTGTGAATGTGGGAGGCAGTAGTTAATAAACTGAACATAACTTAAGAACCGTAAATCGTACAATAATAAATTATAGACCAAAATAAAGCTTGTCATAAGAGGGATATAAATATACATAATGTAATTGTTGAATAGTTATACAATAAGAATATTTATAGAATATTAGTCCATGAATAGTCCTCGGAAGTTACCTGTAATTTAATCTCCACTCGGATATAACAATTGTACAATATTGACCAGTAGGAAAGTGACACGTGAAATATGTACTGACCAATAAGAAAATAATACCATCTCCAAGTCCAAGAATAGCATTAGACTTAACAGAATAATTTTTGGGCAAATACATGTGAATTTGTATACACTGTTGGTGATAACATGAAAGGGATACCAATCGACCTTTGATTATGTTAAAGAATATGCTGTTTTGGATAGGACGATCAGTTTAGCTTCAGGATAAGTTCTTGTCAATGCAGTTTTTAGTCTCATATTGATTGACCCTGTGACATCATCATCTTTGAATTTAAGTTGAATGAAAATAGGGTTTTTTTACTTACTGCAGTTTCTTTGAGTGTTTTATCTTCACGCATTCCATATGTCTGAATAAACTTCAGTTCCAGTTCAACGATATCATATACCGACAAACCGATGGTGTAGCAATGGGAAGTCCGTTAGGCCCTGTCCTAGCATATATTTTTATAGCTAACCTCGAAAGAACCAAGCTCATAGGAGCGTTTGGTGAAATGGTGTATTATTCGAGGTACGTTGATGGCCTCTTCATCGTATGTAATAATAAACAACATTCAACAAATGTGCCAAGACTTTTCAACGAAGCCCATCCAAATATCCAGTTTACTATGGAACATAGAAATGAAAACTGCTTCCATTTTCTCGATATCGCAATAAAACGAATAAAAGATGGCGCACTTTAACGTTCAGTCTAACGAAAAACCCTGGAATGGGATTTATCTCGATTTCAGTAGCTTTTGTCCAATCAGTTACAAAAAGGCACTCGTTAAGACACTTCTTCATAGAACAGAAAGAATATGTACTGCCGATACACTAGAAGAGGAAGTAATGAATGTGAAAAGATGTTTAAAGAATAACGGATACCCACTGAAGTTTATTCAGACATATGGAATGCGTGAAGATAAAACACTCAAAGAAACTGCAGTAAGTAAAAAAACCCTATTTTCATTCAACTTAAATTCAAAGATGATGATGTCACAGGGTCAATCAATATGAGACTAAAAACTGCATTGACAAGAACTTATCCTGAAGCTAAACTGATCGTCCTATCCAAAACAGCATATTCTTTAACATAATCAAAGGTCGATTGGTATCCCTTTCATGTTATCACCAACAGTGTATACAAATTCACATGTATTTGCCCAAAAATTATTCTGTTAAGTCTAATGCTATTCTTGGACTTGGAGATGGTATTATTTTCTTATTGGTCAGTACATATTTCACGTGTCACTTTCCTACTGGTCAATATTGTACAATTGTTATATCCGAGTGGAGATTAAATTACAGGTAACTTCCGAGGACTATTCATGGACTAATATTCTATAAATATTCTTATTGTATAACTATTCAACAATTACATTATGTATATTTATATCCCTCTTATGACAAGCTTTATTTTGGCCTATAATTTATTATTGTACGATTTACGGTTCTTAAGTTATGTTCAGTTTATTAACTACTGCCTCCCACATTCACAGCCACTTTTTGGGCTTATTTGTGTACAAATATTATTTCCTATTTTATGGTACGTTGCGGTCTGTATGATTGATATATAAACCAAGTATGCCTGAAATAAACGATCTGCTCTGATTCGGAAGCTGGTATCTTGTTCTGGACTCAAGTGGAAGGGCTCGTAGGACATAGGACCAATAAGGACGCTAACTCCCCACACCGGTTGAACGTCATTGGTTGGCCTAGTGTGAAGATTCGTATAAGTCGTATTCGGATTGGTAGATAAGTCGTGTGATCGAAAAATCAGACATCACAAGGCCATAACAACAATGTTATTTTCTATTTTATGGTATGTTGTGGTCTACTTGATTAGTATATAAACAGAGTGTGTTTGAAATATAGTGATTCATATATCCGAGGCTGAGACTTGCGTTCTGGACTCAACTGGCTGGGCTAGACAGGGAAGCGGGACCAATCAGAACCCTAGGCCGCTCTACGTGTTTGCGCGTCTTTGGTCCGATCAATAATTCGCCACCCTCTAATCTGCTGCCGTCACAGTTATAGCAGATGTATTTAACATAAAATTACAGAGTTACTTGGTAAACTAGAAGAACCATATAACAAATCGTTAATTTGCAAAATATCAATCCATCATATCAACCTGGACTGTTCCTGTTGCAAGCATCAATCCATTGTCTCATATTTCATTTTTCATGCGTTTTCTTACAAATTGCATTGTGTTCCCACACTTCCTTTCTTGATCTTCTCCCATCTTCTGCTGTCAGACATTACGTTTTATAACTCGCGTCATATACCACTTATATCAATATAAGCAGTACACACCACAGATGATACACTGACGTCATTCAAGGTGATTAATAAACAATCAAACTCCAATCTTTTGAAATTTGCAGAAGCGATAGCAATCAGATGTCTAAAACCAGATCCATGTATCCAGAAGGAGGCAGTTATAAATCTTCCTTTACCCTGATAACATTACACCCCCACTTTTGTTAATTGCATCATTCATTATTTCAACTCTTTCTGAAGTTTGGCTACGTCGTTGTCAGTTTTCTTCAATTCATATCTTTCTTCATTACCATTAATCTATTTTCAGTTACTTAATTACACCATCGTCTAATGTTTATGAACTCCTTGAGTTCTAATCACTAGTTGGTTGTTCTGACAGTTTCCCCCCCCCAAAAAAAACTTTATTTATCTGAAACAAACAATTTCTTATGACCTTATTGACCCTAATCGAATCTTTGTTACATCATGATACACATAATCATCTGTAATAACCCTTGTATGTATTAATTATGTCAATATGTGTAATAACGTTGATTTGTAAAATGTTAAATAGGTTGTAAGCAGTTGATGAGAATCTAACGAAATAGAATGAATCCATTTATTAATGTGCATCAATCTTCGTTCTTGCTCTCTTTGAAAAAGAATTCAAACGGTTTGTTAGTAGTCAGCTTGCGGTGTTGTGATGCGTAATTTCTTAATAAAAGCTTGATCCTAACCCTTATTATAATTATTCCACTCTCCTATAGTGAAGCACAGTGTAGAACCTAGTAGATGTATACATTGGTTCAAGTTGCCATACCTCATTGGCACAGCGAGATGAAATTGTTAAAGTCCCAGAGTAGGGATACTAGAAGTATTAGCAGCGATAGAAAAGACAGTGAAGATATGATTCGAGAAGTAAATGTAAATTGATGAAATAAAAAAAATCTTTTACAAGCAATCAACAACTTAGAATCTAAAGGAAGATAGTGAGTGAAGACACCTGTACCATTGTGAACGATGTTAAGAGATGTTACGCAAAATCTCTAACGGTTGATTGCGATAGTCACGCGGACACCAATTACGTGGTCTACGCCTGTTAATATGACTCAGTCCAGTTGTTAATGACTTCAGAGATCGGTGCCACGTTTTGGTCTAGTCGCCCATAGCTTTCTCACAATCTACTTCTACACACAACATCGCTCATTGAGGTGGGCAATAATTGAGTATACGTGATACCTTAGCTGGTGAAGACTTACTACCTCATCAATCGATTTTCTATCTTTGTATATTGACTTGTCTCTAGCGCTGGCTATTGCTTACTCGGTGGTCTCAAAGTACACAAGCGATGCTTTGAAGGTGTACTTTTTGTAGGTAAAACAAATGGATGACTATGGAAATTATGTATCAAAAATGTGCATAACAACAACTTAAAAAAACAGTCCCAAAAATTTCAACTTTTTTAATATTCGTCCCGTTATAACAAAAACAAATGAATGATGAAAGAAGCAAAGAAATTACCATCATAGATATTTGAGCAGCAGCCTCACTGGCTTCTTTATTCATTGATGATGAAGCTGTAGTTAAGGGCAGAAGTAAATTGTTAGTTGGTCCACATATACTGCAAACATAACTCTGTGATCTGGAGTAAAATGAAGCGAAGTACAATAATAACAATATTATCTATGATAATACCAATTAATATGAGATATTACAAAACTGTGACTAATTTATTTACTGAGTATAAGTTTAAGTATTTCTCCAACGGAGTTAGACGTTTTTTAATATGAAAGCCACGATGTAACTACTATTTTGTACAAGACTAAATGACGTGGAGTGGGTTTTAAACTTGAATCAAATGGTTAAAGACTGAGCGCTGTGATCGCTAAGCCGATACTGATAGCCTGAGAGATTTTAAGCATAGTAAGTGTCTGCGCTAACAGGTTATCTCAAGGTCGAACAGTAGGTGAGAAATTAAAGACGAGATATAATATTAGAGAAAGTCATTTATACACTTGCTTAAGGTCTCAACCCACATGTATTTGTTTGGGATCGGAAGTACAAATGATTTGTGAATTGTCAATTACAGTTTCTGAAGCACTCATCAGTTTTCTCACTCATATTGCCAGTTTGACAGGGGTATAGAAAACGTGTATATTTGAACAGAATGCCGTGGATCGTATCAAAGGCTTTACACAGCTTCATGAAAGCTGAATATAATGTAACTAGAATATTCAGCTACATATATCACAATACGACAAATCAGTACGATGTTTGACATATATCAGTTCGAATTTCACACAATCAAATCATAAAGTATAGCTTTATCCATTCAGACTAGAAACACAGGTTTTGTGTATGAGTTAGTGAAACTGTTTGACTTCTCAAAATAAATTAATATAGATAGATTTCTGCAGAGATCCGTTTTATGATCATGATAAAATCACTTAAGATGGTACCAAATTTATAAAACACCTAAATTTTGCATTGATATTACCTGGGACATCTTAAATAATAGCCCAACTGTTTTTTATTTACTCATCATTCTGTAACAACCCGATTGACATAAGCCCCTCAACTGTTAGTGAATTTTGGAAGGCTGTAGCTAAAGAGCCCTACATTTTTTGTGTCACGTTTGGTAAAGCTCCAAATAGTTGCTCAACGTAAAGTAAGGAAAAAGTCTCGACCTATAATTTAATGGTTGAAAATCGACTGTTTCAGCCACAAAGCCAATAGTACTTACATAATATTATTTGGGTTACCCTTTACTAAGAAATTAATATTCACAGTACATGTTATCTGAGACATCAAAACGATTGCCTTTCCTAGAAATCAACAATAACAACTCTTGCTGATCTATATCCACAAAGTATACTGATATTGGCCCACAAGACTCTCTACTGATTGAATTAAGTAAAAGTTAGCTACAAATAAATATTTGTGATGATCACACAATAGAGACAACGGTAAAGAACATTAATGTTTTTAGACGAGGGTTTGGCAATGTTATACAACTTTGGATGACATATTTATAATACTGAAGAATTTCTGATAACAATATCTACATATGATTATACAATTCAGTTATATCAGAGTGTTATAACTTGCGACCGCCGATTAGAGAGCAGTGAGTTATCAATCGGAATAATGACGCGTAAAACACGTGCGAGCAGCCTAGAGTTCTGATTGGCCCTGCTTCCTGCTTAGCCCAGTCCAGAACAACGATTCGAACCTGTGCGATATGAATCATTATATTTCAAACATACTGAGTTTATATACCAATCAAACAGACCACAACGTACCAATAAAATATGAAACAACATTTGTACAAGAATTAGCTAGATGTGGCTGTGAATGAGGGAGGTAGTAATTAATATACTGGGTATAACTCAAGAATGGTAAAACGTATAATAATAGTTTATAGGTCAAAATATAGCTTATAATAAGAGGAATATGAATATGTATAGTTTAGTTACTTAATAATTATACAATAGAAATATACGTTTGGTATTGGTCCATCAACAGATCCCAAAAGTTACCATTCATTATTCTTATCGGGACATAACACAGAGTAACAGCTTTTACACTTCAATGTCTAGTAAAGAATGATTTTTTGGACAAATTTCCATTTTATTATGGATTATGTTGATTACTTTCATATTTCTACAGTTCATAGGTCTTAGTCACATACATGCTTCGGTAACTACATATCAGGTTCCTTTAAAAAAATCATGTTTTCCAGAGGAGCACCAACCTAGAACAGGGTTTAAAATCTTAAAGCTGATCCATTATTTTGTGATAATTTGCTGAAGAGATTCACCTTCAGTTTATAATGAACTTACCTAAATTGAAAATAAATTATTAACATACCTGAAATTTATGTTAACACTGACTAAAAAGTGTGAGTTTTTAATCAGAAACTACAGCAGCAATGGTCTTGTAATTCGCCTACTTTTGCAAGTAAGAAATGCTCGAATCTACAAAATTTACAAAATATTCGAAACCTAATTGTAACTCATTTTTTTATTGGTCGTTTGAATCTTTCCATTGATGTTTAGGATTGCAATTGATCAATCTCTTATTGGTATGTAAGCATTCTGTCATGATTGCCCCGATATTTCCTGAAGTCACAAGCATTATGAGCAGAGATGGATGGTGGGCAGCAGTGAGGTCCAGGATGCGCGTTTCGTCCCATTTGGGACTCGTCATCTGAATCTACCGGTATCCCAGGGTTGATGTTTTCTCCGGAACGTGTGTCCTGGATTCCATTGCTAGCCACCATCCATTTTTACTTATAACTGTTAAAGACGGAGGTTTCATTTCGGACAGTACATTAACTGAAGTGCTACTATGCGGTTTACACACATTTGACGTCACCCTGTTGGTTACACTATAGTTTTAGACTAATTCGCTACGTAGGGTCCACTGTGCTTGACCTTAAATGTAAGGATTTGAGCTACTATCTGTTTTCTCAAACAGAAGTAGGTGGGTTAGGGTTCGAGCCTGCGGCTTGTTCGTTGGTATTCAAACACCTGAACAACTGAAATACCGCCCCACTTTACATAATTTAAAATTTCCTCGTAAGAGACATGAAAGAGAAATCGCATTAAGAGTGAAAGTTTTGTTAGGCTAAGAGCATGAGTGCAGAGCCCAGAAGAAAAGTGCTTGAGATCACTAAAATTTGATGAGGAACAGAAAGCAACTAATGCAAATTATCCTACACACAATAACAAACATAAGATCCACTTGACAAATGAGCAAAAGGACATTACACACTTGCGAGCTAATAATTGACGTTCTTCTTTTGGTTGATTAAGTGAGCCGATTGCACCGACACCATGAGTAGGCATGAATCCAATCAATGCTAACAACGCAGTACGAATAGACCATGATGGTCTCCATGATTCGGGATGATATCCTGAAATACTTAAACATATTTTCCGATGTATTTCGAAACGTCCATTTGGCTGAAGAGAAAAAATGGTGTGCCAATAAATATTTAAGAAAACCTTACATGTACTTAAAAAAACCGCGATGTTATTGTGACAATGCTTGATAAAATAATAATGCGAGGAAATAAAGAGCGAAAATCAAAATAATACCGAAGGAAATAGTTTTAACAAAAGCATTCATTTTATTTTTACTATTTATAGTGTTGAAGAAACGCAAAATTACATTACAACACGGTCGTTACTAACCTCTACTACGAGCTACATTGAAAACATCCCAGAATATTGAATTATATACTTTATAATTCAAACGAGGCTGTTATTCGAGCTACAAAATGTCGGTTCGACAAAGTTATTTGTTACAATGCTACACTATCAATAAGCTATGTCTTTACCTTTCCAACTGAGTTGTATTGTTAAAAATCAGCGTTTGATAATGACAGCTACTCAGAAGTCACCCAAAGAACACTTTTTGAAACGATTTGAATGATTGACGAGTGGTTCCTATTAAGTTCAACTACAAGCTGTTGAACTTCAACATCATTTACATAGTGCTGCTGTTGAGTATAAAAAATGTTGCGATAACTTAATCCATTGTTACCATATGTCGTATTTATTTATTTATTTATTTCTTTATTTATTTATTTGAACACATAAATATTGGTACAAGAGAGCGCCAATATATATGCGCCACACAAAACAATGGGAATTCGAAGAGAAGTAGAAAAAAAAAACTAAGGAACGCAAAAGAAAAAGAGAGTAATGACGAAGAGGTACAATCAGAAGAAATCTTTCAGGTAAAGGAGACACAACCACTTTTTATGAAGAAAGTAAAAGAAGTTTACAGCAGGATCGCCACTGGCTTCTATTCTGAGCCATATCTGATAACGTCTCTAGCCACTGTGTTGCACCATCTCTCGGACCCCAACCAGGGAGTCGTGAAGGACCAACACAAGCCAGTCCTTTGCAGCTTTCTTTCATGCCACGACACCATATCATGCACTGACCACCTCTCCGCTTCTTCCAACCAGTCCCAGAGTCGGCAAATAATGCACGAAGTGGAATTCTCTGGGACGACATTCGGAGAACATGACCAAGCCACCGAAGTCGGTGTTTCAAGATGGTGACACCAATTGAGTTATCATCTCTGTGCCCGAACACACGATGCCGAACCTCTGCATTACTGACATGGTGTTGCCACTGAATGTCAGCAATCCTTCGGAGACAGCGATGATCGAACACAGAGAGTCGTCTAACGTCCTCAACTCGGGGAGGCCAGGTTTCACAAGCATAGAGCAAAACTGCTCTCACCGACGCGTTGTAGATCCGGCCTTTTACAGCCAGACTAACATCACGAAGGCGCCAGAGGTGGCCCAGATTGGCATAAGCCGCTCTGGCTTTCACTATTCGTGCATTGATCTCATCACTCACACCCCCACCAGCACTTATGCAGCTACCCAGATACACGAACTTCTCAACTACGTCTATCTGCTCACCGTCCAGGGTGAGTACAGGATTAGAATCCTGCCAGTCTTGTAGAAGTACTTTGCGCTTCGAAGGTGCAAAGCACATACCATACCTACGGACACTGATTGCCAACTGATTAAGTGCGGATTGCATGCCTTGGGCATTATCGCACAGTAAGACAATATCGTCCGCATACTCAAGGTCGAGAAGTCTTTCTCCAGGCAACAGATCCACACCACCATTACTTACATTCATCAGAGCTGTTTCCAGAATGTCATCGATGGCAAAGTTGAAGAGGAATGGTGAGATTGGGCAACCCTGCCTAACCCCACTGCTCGAATGGAACAATGGAGAGAGGTGGTTGTATGCCCTCACTCTGCCTGAGGTGTTTTTATACAGGGCTTTTAGGATGTTAATAAACTTCTCAGGCACACCCTTCTTCAATAGACAATCCCAGAGAACAGTCCTATCCAACGAATCGAAGGCAGCCCTGATGTCAAGAAACACTACGATTGTTGGCCTTTGAAAAGTATGGCGGTGTTCTAACATTTGGCGGAGGGTGAAGATATGATCAATACATCCTCGACCAGAACGAAACCCAGCCTGCTCCTCGCGAGTCAATCTTTCTCGGGTTTTGAACAACCTACGAAGAATGACGGAAGCCAATAGCTTGGACGCAATCGGAAGTAAACTTATCCCCCGATAGTTGTTACAAGAACGACGTGAACCCTTTTTAAAGATAGGGACAACTATCGACTCATTCCATGACGTTGGTACACTCTCTAGATCCCAAACCTTTGTAAACAACGTCGTCAATTCCTTAGTCAAAAAGTCACCACCATCTTTAAAAAGAGCCGGAGGTAAGTCATCTGAGCCAGGTGATTTGTAACGCTTCAAGAGTTGGAGTTCCTTGCGGACTTCCTCCTCATTTGGTGGATCAGTCGTCACCGGCCATGGAGGGCAGGACAGTCTGACCGATGTTGCCGGAGCAGCAGGCCAGTTGAACTGCCCTTCGAAAAATTCTGCCCATCGTCCAAGACGTCGATGGATGTTAGTGATTGGCATCCCATCATCCTCGCAGATTGTTTCACTCACACCAGACTTCTTGCTGCCAGTGGCTCGGATGAGTTGGAAGAGCTTCCGGTAGTTACCAGATGCAGCTGCTGCTTCCAGCTCATTAGCACGCATCGACCACCAGGCTTCTCGGTCCTTACGCAAGCTTTGCCCGATTTCCTTACGTAAAAACCTTCGTTTATGGTCAAACTCACGGTTACCCGGAGTAGACCGACGGGCTTCAATGAGTTGTAAGGAACCAGAAGAAACCCAGTGCTTAAAAGCGGGACGTTTCGCAAACCCACAACTGACTGTTCCCGCCATTTTCATGGCGTCATGCAATTGCAACCAATGCTCATCTATACTTTTCGGTGGAGTGGTAGCTAGCCTAGAGGCTAGCTCGGTTCGATACTTACTTGCAACAGAAGTTGCAACCAGCTTGCTAACATCAATCCGTTGATGGCGTTCACTTCGTTGTCCACTGAAAAGTAAGGCAAGATTGGCGCAGACCAAGGCATGGTCAGAGTCCAGATAGGTACTCCAAAAGGAGCGGCAGTCTTGTACACAACCACGCCAGCGGTAGCTGATCGCGATGTGATCAATCTGAGTCCAGGCTTGAGATGCAGAGGGAGGACGCCAGGTGGCACATCGGCGATGACTGTGCCGAAAGTTAGTGCTAGCCAGAAACAGGTTGTGGTCTGCGCAAAGTTGCAGTAGACGGTCCCCGTTATCTGACCTGCGACCAACGAGTCCCCATCGGCCACCTAAACGACTCTCTTCTGTGCCTAGACGCCCGACCTGAGCATTCAAGTCTCCGGCTAGTACTACAATATCTGTCGAACGCACTTTCTGGAGAAGAACTGATAACTGGTGGTAAAACTCATCCTTGATTGCATCCGGGCTGCAATCTGTCGGGGCATAGGCGGAGATGACGAAAAGACATCGTTTCTCACGCCGATTTCTTCTCACTTTGATGGAACTTTCTAATCTAACAGCACATAACCGACTGTTAATGGGGATCCAATCGACTAGTGCTGCCTCAGCTCTAGCGCTTAGTGCGACACCAACGCCAGCAAGACCAGACGAAGATGCCACAGGGTCCCCGGATAAGCGCACGTAAAACAAGCTTTTCGAAGCGACAGATGGAGATCGAATTTGTAGTACTTCGCCAGAGTCTTGAATACGGGTCTCGGATAGACAACACACGTCGATATTAAGACTTTCCAAAGACATAGCCAGCCCTATCTGTTGTCCGACCTGCATAAATGTGCGAACGTTGAAGGCAGCCAGTTTGAATGATGCACGTGGTTTCAGAAAATCTGCTTCAGTCCTCGTATTCGGTGGTAACATACAATTTTCAACCGGACAGTGACTCGAGAACGTTTAGATACAGTCGGAATTCCACCAAAGACGAGCCGCTGTATAAGTATAAAAGAAGGTGAATAATGTGGAAAATAATAATAATAATGATAATAATAACAATAATGACAATAATAGTAGTAATAATAATATTATTATTAATAATGACAATAATTGAAGTGATCATAATTTGAATCAATTGATTGTTTTTCAAAGCGACAAAAGTAGTTTCCATAGACATAAAGAGTTCATCATTTGTGTGTGGGCTGTGATACTGCCCGGGTGCCCAAACCGAAGCAGGTGGTTATCTTAGGGGGCCACTCCCCGAGCCTTTGACCTAAAGGTCTAACCCACAAGGCAGTGGAGCATCGTAAGGAGATGCAGTCCCATGGTAGCCGGTGACCAACGATTGGTTCATACGCCATTCGTTCCCGCAGGATACTGGAGCCCATGTGCACCATTGGTTTGGAATCCGGTTAAAGCGCCGGACATTCGCTTCTCGTCCTCTCATTTTCGTAAACAACACCCCCGCCACGAGAAGGCAATGAGTAGGACTTCCCTGGCAGAGGCTATATACGCGTGGCCGTGTGAGAGTATTTCGAGAGGGAAAGCGGACTCTCCCCACTCTCGGCCGTACCAGGGCATTCATAGTTTAAATAATAGATTGGCCAGTAACATAACCACCTGGTTGATAGTAGTTCTGATAACATGGAAGCGTGATCGCAGTGCCCAAGGTAAAGCTTCTTGAATCTGGTGGCAGAGTGGTTTTGTAGGTAGATTTCGATGTGCAAGCTCGATACTTTTACAGGCTTATCATCAACACTACAAATTCGTGGAACAAGGTGAGTTGTAAAAATTTTCAGGTCGACCGTCTTTTGATCTCTTCACTCTGTGACAAAACCACTGAAAGTACTGGTTACTCGTGTGAAATACTCTACTGTTATCAAACTTTAGTATGTTTAACGGTATGACTTAGTCCCAAGACCTTAGATTTGCCATTTTCTGGCTTACGGCTATTCAAGAGACAAAGTTAGGTTACTGCTCAAATTCTTTTGAAGACAGAGTAAAAGTAGTGAACTATAAGTAACTATATTGATGTTTTAAGGGAATAGAGAGAAATATAGTATCTGCATACTCACAGGTAGGGAATAAAATATAATCAATGAACCTACAATCGCACCAAAACTCGAACATTCTGTGATTTAGATTTTGTACAACTTATGTAGCATGATGGAAGTCAAATAATCTAGGGATAAGGAGTATCAGACTTGCATCAAAATGATTAAAACATAAATTGAGTATGCTCTTCTTAAGATGGGTACTACAACTAGCAGTACATAGCGGTAAAAAAATTTCAGGTCGAATTCAGCCAGTTCAGTATATAGACTAAGTGACCAACAAACTAAAGAACTGTGCAGACCAACAGCTATACTATTTGAAGGTTTAGCAGCCACAACCAGAGCGTTTCTGTTTATTGATATGATACTTATAGACTTATTGAGATTAAATTGGCATATACATGCACGTGGTTTTAAAAGCAAACCCAGTGGCCGCACGCTTAAACCTTGAAACGCTAGAATGAAGAGTAAACATAGTTTTGCAGTCACTTGGAGCATCTAAAACAAATGTGGAAGTAAATGACAATTTGAGGATACTTACAGTTAACAACACGATATTTGGAGGCTTCATTGGGTATTCTGAAGGCAAAAGAATTCTTCCATGGTATAAACCGCCCTGAAAGTCAGAATCTTCAGGACCTCTTATCGTGAAGTGCCACTCAAACAGATTATCCTAAGAATTATGTTAGAAAATATAGAGTCGAACCTCTAGAGGTTTGGCAAAGTATAGTTCAGTGGGCTCTGACAGTTCTTGTGCCTCTTTCATTAACCGTTTGACAGCTAAGAACGTAAAACTGATAAATAATAACAGACTAACCTGGATTTCGCGAATTATACGTCACAACCATGTTTTCAAATTTCTGTCCTGATTGTGACCTTAAATTTAGAACAGTTAAAACTGCTGTACTAGTTCTTTTAAATTCGGCACATTTAATGGTAATCACGAGGAAAGTAGTTATAGTTAGTATCCAAAGCACAGAATAAGAGGTCGAGGTTATTGTTTTGTTAGCAAGGTTGTAACTACTTGAATAACTTTGCGAATGTCCATTGTAAAGTCTTAAGTCTTCAGTAATAAGGATAGTAGGTTGGTGAACTTGTATTAATCTTGACGCACTGCTTTCCAGTGAAGGTTCAGCTTCTCCTTGAAAGTATTCACTGATGGGCTGATACCACTTGTTCGGGTAAGGCGTTCCAATGATTGACTACTTGATGAGAAAAACGGAACCCCACTTTAAGTTTATTAAATCTTGGTTTATGAACCTTCTTGCTATGACCGCGAAGATTATTAGTGCTGGAGGGAGAAAAAAGATAAAACATATTAACACCCAAATCATAATTAAAGATACGAAATGCCAGTATGTCACCTCGTGTCCTACGACACGACAAGGGGAAAAGATTTAGGCGTTTTAAACGCTCATCGTAAGGGAGTCTAGAAAGACCCTTCACTAATTTCGTTCCCACACGCTGGACACGCTCAAGGGACATCTGCTAGCAGCTTGGATACAGTACTATATGTGTGGTCTTACATAGGTGGCATATAAAATTCGAAACGTTTCCTCGTCAAAAGATTTGAACGCTCGGAGAAGTGACCATAACGCTGGAAAACCTTTGACAGCGGCTGCTTTGCAATGCGTAGTTGTTTTTAAATCATGACTTCATACTACTCCTAAGTCTTTATGCTCTTGAACGCACGGAAGAGGTTTACCCTTAATAGTGTAACGGTAACTATTACCGTGACCGATGTGCATTAGCACACTCTTCCTAGCATTGATTTCTAAGCCACACTCTCGAGCCCATCTAACTAAATCATCTAAGTCAGCTTGAAGATCCACATGATCAGCCGCACTTTTTATTGTTCTCCAGATTTTTACATCATCCGCAAACAATAATGTCGACGACATAAGTAACAGCGGTAACTCATTAACGTAGAGAAGGAACAGCAGGGGGCCTAAGATGGTACACCACTTTTGACCGGCTTCCAATCGGATAGCGTTCCGTTAACCCTCACTCTCTGTCCGCGGTCACATAAGAAATTTCCTATCCACGCATGTACAGTACCTATTATTCCGAAGCTCGTGAGCTTCTGCATAAGACCTACGTGTGAAACATTGTCAAACGCTTTGCTAAAATCTATGAATATCACGTCGACAGACAGACCGTTATCTAGGGTTGGTTTTGTGTTCTTGTCTTAACAGTGCAAGGCGGTTTCAGGTATTACACATATGATAAACTCAGCCACCATTTAGAATAATGTGACTGAATATGAGAGTCAATAAAGGTTGTCATATTTTGATGCCAAGTACATTTATCAGAGCCCTTGGAATCACCGGAATGAGTAACTGTCTCGTCACTAGACAGTTGTCATGTTTCATCTAGATGACAAGAAATGCAAGGCGAACTGAAAAAGGAAAAGTTTTAGAGAAACAGACAAATTTACAATTACATGCTTGTAAATGAAAATGATGACTAGAAACATAGATGATAAGTGTTCAGATGCTCTGAAACGAAGCTCAAGTAACACTACTAAAAGATATAATCGCTTCCCCTTATGCACAAATGTACTAGCTAGTTATTCATGAATAACGAAAACGGTCTGTAACTGTACATATTTGTCGTCCTGGAAAATCCTTGACACATTCTTTACAGCTGCTGTGGTTCAACGGTGGAGTATTTTTTTTAGAGTGTATATGATTGAACGATTCAGGACAAAAGCGTGAAACAAGTTCAACATGTTGACTACATATCTTGACAATCATCACAATATAATCCAACTAAAACTGCAAGGTTATTTCTTATGGGTTGAGGTTGCTGATGACATATCCAGCTTTCAACGTTTAGCCGAGCTTAGGACTGACAGTTACCGTAGTAAAGCTATATGGAGAGTTGTAATTCGTATAGCGATTCATATATTTGCTCAAAATTGACTTTCGAATCTCCATCTAGTGTCCACTTGTCGATTATCTAAATAAACATTCGGACGCTTAACTCTGTAAGTAGTAAAATGACATTTAATTCAAAATTTATTTTTAATTTTCAATAATGTTATAGTTTTAGAACAACTCTGCCTCACTTTTTTCATCTTTTATTGTTTCGTTTACTTCGTTTCCGTTTCAAACAATCTTCATAATCAGAAATGATAACGTGTTATGGTAAATAACCGATGTGTTTTCTGTACCATCAAAACTCTTATGTTTAAATCTACCATATTAATACAATACAATTTCACACTGAGTCCTTCAAAACTGAATTCTTGATTTGTTTTGTTCAAGTTCTAGAGTTACTGGGATTAGTTCTAATTCGACAATCAAAGATGGATAGTGGCTAGCAGTGGAATCCAGGACTCGCGTTTCTTCCCAGTTGGGACTCATCAGCTGAATGTTCCTGCATCTCAAAGTTGATGTTCACTCCGGGCCTCGAACCCAGTTCCATTCTCTCGTGAATTAAGGCAATGTTGAGACAGTACGCAAAGTATGCACATATGCCAATAACAGACTGATTGATTGAAGTTTTAAACCTTAATGGGAAGATTCAAGCATAAAATACTAAGTAAATTTATTAAGAATTCTTTCATATTATTGAAAATTCACACCATAAAATTATGGTTACAAGGACTTATTTTGACAAACAGAGTAAATAAAGCTTTTTTATTTTAAATAGTTGTTATTTTTGCACTTGCTATCAAGTGCAATCCCCAATATCTTTATTTTTCTACAAATTTGTCTGTTTTGGGTAAATTTTGAGTAAGCTATAATAGAAAGCTTTGGGGAAATTTCTGGACTCTAGTGACATTTTCCCAAAATTTGGGGAAATTTTGGGGAAAACTACCAAATATCTTACAACTTTTTTAGGGAAACACCAAAATTTACCTAAAATTCTCCCAAGTTTCACCAAAATAGAGAGATTGTTATTATTTTATGTGGTACAGAGTTGTTTTTTGTGTTTAACTGTGAAGATCAGAATAAATAAAGATCTGAGATGAGAGTAGACTAAAGCTTCTTTCTACTGTAATATGCTTCAAAAAGGAACAATCAAATCAAACGTAAATATATTAATTAACCAATAGAATGCTAGCGTATTATTAACCAATCACAGTCATAGAGATGTTATAAATCAAAATAATTTCATTGGTAGATCTGATAGAAGACAAATTTCATTGGTTGACATATTTCTTAATTCATAAATTAAATATAAAATCACTATTTTGGTTCAGATCACGTATCTGGGCTTCAGTTTCATCGTTTGAGGTTAGTTAATATTGTGGATGCTAAGTCTTCTCTTTGTAATTAGTTGCGTAGTAATTAACTTTAGTGTATTATTACCAAGTTTATTGACTCTTGCATTACGAACTAGGTTTACGCTAACAGTAATTTTCGGTGAGACTAATTTATGTACGACCTTTGAACGACTCTGAAGTGACTTTGAGAGTATCCACTTAATAACTAGGATCCAATGAGGGTTGCAAACCTGTGTGAGTAATTAGAATTATGATTTACAAGTGATGATTAGGGTTAGAAATTAGATTTAGGATTTTATTTTTTTATCACGAACTGACATAAGATCTAATGTCAAAACGGCATTTAACTAAATGGTTAAATGAATTTCGCACCAACATCCAAGACTTGTTATCCTAAATCTGATTGGTTTATTCACAAATTATAGTTTCACTTAATTTTCAAACCCCACCATGACTTCAGTAGTATATCAAATTATTTAATTGAAATAATAAATTGTTTTGTAATTTAGGAATACTATAGTGATTGTTCTTTTATCAAAACTGGCTTGTGTGCAACAACAATCAACTATGTACACAAATATTTTATTGTCAGAAAGGGGTTTTGTGGAGATTGTGTTAATTCAATAGTTAGATTCATGAGTCGATTAAAGCTAGATCACCATGGAAAAGCTGAAAGCACTGGATAACTATTTCGTATTAGTATGGGACTCCTAGCTGGTGGAAGCTTAATCTCTAGACCATTGAGCAGGTGTTCAACGGTATTAATGACTAACTTCAATCAATCCATGAAATTGCACCACCGTCCACCATTTTCTTCAGTGAGACCGAAGGTTCTGGGTTCTAATCCCATAAGTGCGATCATGGATACACATTACTGAGGAGTTCCATACTAGGATGAAATGGTCGTCTAGTGTATCCAGGTTCTCCATGTTGGTCTTGCTTTAATCGACTCATTAATTCAATTATGAAATTACAAATATTTTAGTTAATTACAGTATAATTGTAACTAGTAGTGAAACGTCATTCTTCTTGAGATATACCAATTAGATAAATTTGAATCTCAGCGTTGAGGCTCAAATCTGGTACCTTTTATTACAAATCAATGCGTTAACTACTTAACTATCGAGTTCATGTAACCACCAACTTATTCAAGAGAAAAATATGAACCCTTTTTAAATAAAATAGAGATCAACATTTATGAAAATAACCGAATTCCCATTCCATTCTTACAGAGAATCGTCTATTTATAGTAATCATTTATTTAAATACATAAACATTAGTATAAGGAGGCACGAAAATATATATGCGCCACATAAATTATTTGATTTGTGTGCGGGATGGGATACTACACGGGTGCTCAAACCGAAGCAGATGGTCTTCTTAGAGTGCCACATTCCGAAAATTTGATCTAAATGTCTAATACACAAAGCAGTAGAACAACGTCAGGAGATGCAGTCCCATGGTAAACTGTGACTAATAATAGGCTCATACACCATTTGTTTCCTTAGGATCGTGGAGCCCATGTGCACTATTGGTTTGAAATAAGTGTTTTCCAACTCCCATAAGTAGATACTTCATACCCAACAACCCGTTTAAAGCACCGGACATTCGCTTTTCATCCTCTCAATTTCTTAAACAACACGCGTGGTGAGAGAAGGCAGTGAGTAGGACTTCTCTGGCAGTGGTTGTATGTACGTGGCCACTTGAGAGCACACTCAGCTGTAGCAGGGCATTTAGGGGCCATAGACTGATTAGTTATTTTGAGGTTAATTATTGTCCTCTCTCATTCAGAACTTATTAATTAGTTATATCCCAGATCTACTATCATGTTCTTATCTAAAAGTATGAACAAAACATTATACAGAACTTGTTCAAAAAGTAAATTAAATTATAATTTCCAATTGAATAGTACGTTTATTTCGAAAGTAAATACCAAATCTAGAAAGCGAGAGTGTTAAATTCACTACTTGATTCACACAGAATACGGTTTAGGACCATGAGACTTGAACGTTGAACTTCATTGTCGCAAATCAGAACACAGAAGAAAAACTGGAGAAGTGTTTATTTGATAAGATTCAAAGTGTACAGAAAATTACGGGTATTTATAGATATTAGCATTTGTTAAATCAACATTATATTTCGGCTAATCCGCTAAGAGACATATTATGCTACTGAACAATAATGGCATCATGCCACGTTGATAATCTAGAAAGCTCCATCATGTTCTGATTGACCGGAAGTCTTCAGCTCCTTTACAGCCTCTGGAGGATCCGTTGTAGTTCTCGGAAGACGACTCAACATAGAGCGATAGAGAGAGAGAGAGTATTCCACTTGTAAGATTCACTTAATTTCGTACGAGTGACATAAACTTGAGTTTTGAACAGAATATTAGTCGTAGACATAATGTTTGTTTACTCAAATATATTTTGTACCCTGGGATATTCTTAATTTACTAATCTTTCATTGAAATAATGAAGTTAAAATATAATTTTCGTTGAATTGAAAATTGAAATGAAATAAATAGTTGTAATTGAATATCAAATCGAGTGTTATAAACATATAGGCTCCCTTCCAAATGCCCTAGCTGGAGAAAATGTGCTATGTCTGTCAGTCAGTCAGTCAGCTACAACGTAGGACCAGGGATATATATGTATATATGGTAACGGTTCAAGTTGCCACACCTTATTAGCACGATAAGATAAACACCACATTCATAGAAGTAGTTAACTCAATGGTGGTAATATATAAAAAAAAAGATTGTGTATAAGGACATAGCACAGGAAGAAAGAGTTCGTAGAAAGAATGATATAGAGCGATTTTAATCTCATCGTTCAAGGGAAGACAAAGAGTGTATACACCTGCACCATTGTGATCGATTCCGACCCATGTCACCCATAGTCTTCAACCATTAGTTACGAAAGTCACTTATTTAGGACAGAAGCTATAAAGATTTAAGCTGACAACATTAGATTTTGTATTCAGAAAAAGGTTTTTAATGTCTCTATCGTGTCTTCTTGATCAGAAATCAAACCTAACAGACAATAATGATCAATTATATCTATTCTTTGTTAGTCCCTTTTCTTTTCTTTACCATTTATATACATAAATTGATTGTGTTGATTCTTTAAACTTTGACCTACTTATTATGTAAGTGGATTCATTCACACATACTATCATACTATTTATTCACAATGAACACATTTGTTATTCACCATCAACGTGTACTTGCCAGTTATGATGATGAATCACGTATTCTATTTCATTGTTATCATTGACTTCCGAATTACTTTGGTTAATTTGTTATTTTGCAAATATGCATATATTTTCACTTAGTATGATTTCCTTGTATCTTCTCAATTGACACCAGTCTTTTACTTACTTACTTACGCCTGTTACTCCCAATGGAGAATAGGCCGCCGACCAGCATTCTCCAACCCACTCTGTCCTGGGCCTTCTTTTCTAGTTCCATCCAATTCTTGTTCATTTTTCTCATGTCTATCTCCATTTCTCGGCGTAATGTGTTCTTTGGTCTTCCTCTTTTCCTGTGGCCTTGATGATTCCATGTGAGGGCTTTTCTTGTGACACAGTTGGGTGCTTTCCTCAATGTGTGTCCTATCCACTTCCAGCGCTTCTTCCTGATTTCTTCCTCCGCTGGAATCTGGTTTGTTCTCTCCCACAGTACGTTGTCGCTAATAGTGTCTCTTATTGGCATTTATACATCCTATACGGATTGTCTTGATATTGTCGTAAGTCACAAGCATTATATACAAAGATGGATAGTGGCTAGCAGTGGAATCCATGTATCACGTTTCGTTCTATTTGGGACTCGTCAGTTGGATATACCGTCATCTCAGTTCAATTTAATCTTTCATCTAGTCTCTACAAACTAAACAACTATGTTCTTTATGTCAGCACTAATAATCAGAATTTGATTCACTTAGAAATGAAATAGAATAGGGTAATCTAACAAAAATCCATCTTATAAGAATCCGTTAAGTAATTATTCCCTCAAAGCGGGATCGTGGATGTGCACTACTGAGGAGTTCAACAATAAGACGAAACAATTGTCTAGTGATTTCAAGTTTTCAATGGTGGTCTTACATCAGTCGCTTCATGAGCTCAATTAAATACTCTATGACTATCGTTTAATTATTGTGAATTATATACATATTACTGTAAAGCCACAATGAAAAAGTAAGAAAGAAATTTCTTCGATCTATCCATTTTTTTTCACTAAAAACAGTCCATTTTATAACCATCGTTTCGTCAAATTATCATGGTTGTAAAAGTAATCTCAACTATGAATCACTTAAAGGCCACGTGTCATGTATGCCTAAACACCGATTACCACTGCGCACAATGCTAACTAGTGTTAGGATTAGTTGGAAGAAGGTTAGGGATGGCCAAACCAAAACGTGGCATCCATCTACAAAGTAACTCACTTCTAATCTTAACCATGTTGGAAGATGCAGACTACTTGGTTGGGTTCTGCGTGACTATCGTAATCAATGGTTGGAGACTCTTGGTGACATGGCTCAGAATCAATCACAATGGAGTAGATGTATACACTCTCTGTCTTCCCTTAAAAGATGACATTAAAATCGCTCCATATCATTCTTTCTACGAACTAATTCTTTCTTCCTATACTATATCCTTATTGCAACCTTTGACCTAACCACTCCTATGAATCCGGTGTTCATCTTGCTGTGCTAATGAGGTATGGCAACCTGAACCTATGTATATATATGTCTGATCCTTCGTTGTAGCTGACTGACTGAATTATTCAAAGTTTAATCCATGATAGTACTAGAGGAAATCTTCAAGTTTTACTATTTATAAATAATTTTAATTTTAGAGTAAAGTTTAAGTATAAGAGTAAACTGACCAAGTTTAAGATTATTTCAAGGTCAAGGCTAATAATTAAACAAAAATGATCGTAACGTTTTTATAGAATAAAGATTATACTCTAAGAATTTTTTTGTTTTTGCAATTGAGAACAATAAAATTTGTCTAAGACTTATAAAGAACATTATGAATAAAATCAATTAAGTGTTCTACTTATTCTTAGATGAATCTTAGATGAATAGTACTACTAGTTATATACTGGATCGTACCCCCCAATGCCCTGACACGACCAAGAGTAGGAAGAGTCAACTCTCCCTCTGGAAATGCTCTCACATTGCCACACGTGTAAAGCCTCTGCCAAGGAAGTCCTACTTATTGCCTTCTCGCATCACGGGTGTTGTTTACAAAATTGAAAGGATGAAAAGCGAATGTCCGACACTTTAATCAGGCTGGTGGATACGGATAGTCCACCTAGGGGAGTTGGTAAACCTTCATTCCAAATCAATGATTCACATGGACTCCAGTATTCTGAGGAAACTCATGGTGTATGAACCTATTATTAGTCACAGGCTACCATGGGACTGCATCTCCTGATGTTGTTCTACTGCCTTGTGTATTAGACATTTAGGTCAAGTTTTTGGGGTTTGGCACCCTAAGAACGCCACCTGCTTCAGTTTGAGCACCCGGGTAGTATTCCAGCCTGCACACAGATCAAATGATTTATATGGCGCATATCTATTTTCGTGCCTCCTTGTACTAATGTTTACGTGTTTAAATAAATAAATACTTTACAAAACCTAAGAACCATATAATGAATACTTCATTCGCAAAATGTCAATCAATTGTAATATGGTAGAGAAGATTTGTAGCTCAAGTGAATGATTTTGGTGGAATTTTGTCCCTATCCCTTACCATCCAACTCAAAGAACAAAACTCCACTAAACTCAATCAAACTTCATTATTACTTCGTTTCCACAGTAATTATTCTTTGTTTTCATTCGCTTTTCTTCAATCTTCTTAACCATCTGACTCCATGCATTTCACTTTCGATTAATGATACACATACTACTTATATCTATTGATATCAGTAGTATACACTACACATAACTATTAAGATATTAATTGTGCGAAAATACATGTTTAAACAGGTATTTCAATTCATTTACATTAGTTACATATGTACATATCTTGTTTATGCCAGAAGAAAGAAAACATTATGGCATAGAAACATTGAATTACCATTGAATTATGCAAACAACATCAGAATATGTGAAATTCGATAATAATTAAAATAAATATTTGCTATTCATTTGCCTACGCTCTTGTTTCAAATATCTACATTGATGTGTTTATTATGTAATCAATAAACAACACCGATCCTTTCTTTCTTTAAATAGCCAATTAGAATCAAATGAATGGTATCAGATCTTGATTTGATCGTGATTTGATTTAAGTTAGATAATCATCGAAATCAAGAAACGTAAGATAGTCATATCATCCTAGCATAGACTCTTGAATGGTGCATATCTATGACCTCACTAGTAGGTATTTAAACCAAGATATTCGGTATAGTGCGTGGATACTTAACTTCTAGATCATTATATTTATTTGAGTTGTAACTAACATGATTATTAATAGTTAAAATATAAGGCCACAAAGTACGTAGTTTTTAATATATACGAACTTGGGAAGCATCATCAATGAAAACGGAGGATTGAATAAAGACGTAACGGTAAGGATTGGCAAAACAAGGACAGCATTCTTACAATTGAAGAACATATGGGACTCAAAATAACTTTCAACCAATATCAAAGTCAGAATTTTCAATACAAACGTCAAGACAGTTCTGATGTACAGAGCTGAAACTTCGAGAACTACTACAACCATCATCAGCAAGGTACAAGTATTTACAAATAGTTGTCTACACATGATACTAAGCATTCATCGGCTGGATACCATCAGCAACTCCATTTTGTGGGAGAGGACAAACCGGTTTCCAGCTGAAGAGGAAAGCAGGAAAAAACGTTGGAAGTGGATAGGACATACAATACGGAAATCATCGAACTGAATAACGAGGTAAGCCCAAACTTGGAATCTTGAAATGAAGCGGACAAAAGGAACGTCAAAGAACACATTACATCGGAAAATAGAAGCCGACATGAAAAGGATGAATGACAATTGCAAAGGATTGGGCAAGACAGGTTTGGATGGAGAGTTCTGGTGGGTGGCTTATGCTCCTTCACGAGAAGTAGCTACATAATATTCAAATTTCACAATGCCCACTTGTTCAACAATATTTTATGTATTGGTATTAATATGATTTTCTTTACATAACAACCGCTTCAAGAGGACTATTGAAAATTAGAAAACATTAGAAATCGTTTCATCTTTGTCAAAAAATTCTGAAGAATTAGATTGAGATCATGAACCGATTGATGTTAGACCACCATTGAAAACCTGGAAGCACTGGACGGCCGTTTCTTCCTATTGTAGGACTCCTCAGCAGTGCGCATCGACATAAGAAAGTCAGTTGAATGATATCAGATCCTGTTATATTCTCTTGATATCTTAACTAGAACTAAAGTTAAAATATACAGCGATAGTGAATGAGAACATAAGTGGAGACAATTGAATGTATTTAAATAGAAAATTAGAGAACATCTTAGTAAAATTTGCCCCCAAATGCCATTGTATGGAAAAGAGTGGAGAGAGTCAGTTCTCCCTCTCGAAATGCTCTCAAATGGCCACGCGTATATAGTCTCTGCCAGAGAAGTCCTACTCAATGCCTTCTCGCACCACGGGTGGTGTTTATGAAATCGAGAGAACGAAAATTGAATGTCCGACACTTTAACCAGGTTGGTGGATATGGAGACTTCACCTAGGGGAGTTGGAAAACCCTCATTCCAAACCAATGGTGCACATGGGCTCCAATATCCTGAAGGAACAAATGGCGTATGAACCAATCGTTGGTCATCAGCTACCATGGGACTGCATCTGCTTATGATGTTCCACTGCCTTGTGGATCAGACCTTCAGATCAAAGGCACCGGATGTGGCCTCCTAAGAAAACCGCCTGCTTCAGTTTGAACACCTGGATAATATCATAGCCCATACACAAATCAAGTGACTTGTCTGGCGTATAAACAGTAATAGTAAAACGTCCTTGGTAATGACACATGTAATCTCAACTACTTGTTGTTTTAAATAGTTAACTATTACATTATCATCAATGCTTATTTCATTTTTGTTTTTTTCTTATTCTCTTATTTAGCAAGTTTATTCCTAAACATTCAATTCTAATAATGGGAAGAAGTAAATTACAAATATATGGTCCAAATGGTGAAATTTATCAACCTACATTAAAACTTCAATCAAATACTAATCCTGAAAAAGATGCTGAAGAACTTCATCAAGCAATGAAAGGATGGGGTAAATTATTGTTATGAATTGTGACCTGTATGCTCTATTAATGTATAACGTAATGATACCGCCAATTAGAGAGTAGTGAGCTATCCATCGGACCAATGACGCGTAAAACACGTCCTTATTGATCCTGCTTCCCACCTAGCCCAGTCAGTTAAATCCAGAACACCAATCTCAGCCTCTGCAATATTGACTCATTTATTTTCAAACATACAGGGTTTATATACCAACCAGACAGACCACATCGTACCATTAAATATGAAACAACATTTCTACAAGATTTAACCAAAAGTGGCTATGTATATGGGTTGTAATAATTTACAGACAGGGCATAATTCAAGAATGGTAAATCATATAGTAACAATTCATAGATCAAAATAGAGCTTATAATAAGAGGGACACGAATATGTATAGTTTAGTTATATACCAATTATACGATAAAAATATACACATAGTATTGGTCCATAAATGGATCCCCAAAGTTACCAGTCATTATTCTCGTCGGGGTATAACAATTATACAGAGTTTGTTTGTTTGTTTTAATTCTCATCAAACCTTATTGTTCATGTAACTGGTGGTATAATTAAGAACGTGTATTTTATTCTATTTGGAAACCCTTAATCGGATGTACCTACATCCCATATTTGATATTCATTTCGGGACTCGAACACTAGTACCGTTCACTTCAGATGTCAATCTATTCTATACTAGTTTATGTCACGATGGTAACATTCAGGTAATCCTTATAGGATGTATTACAGCAAATTAAGATCGATCAAATTTCAGTCAAAAATACCAACCATCGAAAAATTCAAATTATTTCAATGGTTAAGATCACGAGTCAGTTGAAGCTATACCATCATGGAAAACCTGGAAGCACTGGACGGCCGTTCCGTCCTAGTGTGGGACCATTGAAATTACTATAATATTCACAAAAACCCATTCTGATATGAATCAACATATGCTCATTAGTGGGTGGCTTCAAGAGGTATATCCTGAAGTTCTAGTGAGAAGTAATGACCGGTGGAGTTCAACCAGGTTTATTGTGAGATAGTAACTCACTGAAAACAATAGTGGATGTGTCGCTCAATTTCGTGGACTAGTTGAAGTTAGACATGAACACCGTCGGATGCCGGCTCAGTGGTCTAGTGGTTAAGTGTTCGCGCGCGAAACCAGTAGGTTCTGGGTTCGGATCTCGCAGGGGGCGAGATGGTGGACGCACACTGCTGTGGAGTTCCACAATAGGACGAAACGGCCATCCAGTGCTTTCAGGTTTTCCATGGTGGTCTAACTTCAATTGATTCATGAATTCAACTATTAGATTATTTGATATCTATTTTATCTTAGATTGAAACTGATCTATAGTCCAAACCCATACTCATATCGTCAAGCTACTAATTCAAGCTTAAACGACTTTTACTTATCATCTTCTATTAACTTGTGTCATATAACACAACTTTAACAGATTCACCTTCATTACAATCTTCTGTTTATTAGTGCTATGAATTCTTTGAAATTTTCATTAAGAAATTATGAATAATATTATTGGGAATGTTTAACCTAGAAACATTGATTCATCAGTTTAATAGTTGAATTCATGAGTCAATTGAATCTAGATCACCATAGGAAATCTGGAAGCACTAGACGGCTGTTTTGTTCTAATATGGAACTGATAGATCCTGGATTCGAATCTCGCGAGGTGAGATCGTGGTTACGCACTACGGAGGAATCTCATACTAAGATAAAATGGTCGTCCAGTGCTTCTAGGTGTTCCATGGTGGACTAGGTTCCACTGACTCATGAATTCAACTATTCATCTATGATAATATCCATGAAACCGCTTTCTGATTATGATTCATCAGTTATCTGCACTCTAATGAATCACAACAAAGTTATATAACGATATCGTTTTCTTAGTTTATGAAACTAATGAATCTAATTGATAACAATGAATGTAGAACGTTAACTTTGAGTAAAGGTTTTTTTTTCAATGATTTGAACTTTTAGTGCTTTTTTTAAATGAAGGTCATTCAATGTTCAATGATGACTAGTACTATGTGGGTTGATTGTACAAACTAGAAATTCACACACACACACACACATACACACTCTCCGTATATATAAAGACCAGTGAATTTTGATTCAATAATGTAAGCTAACGTGATGTTGTTTAAGTATTTGGCACCATCGTGTTTATACAATCAACCTCACATAAGTATTAGCCATTAGTAACACAATAAGTTATCTTGATTTTAGTAACTATGTGTATGTATGTTACAGTGCAAATGAACAGAATATTGTTTTCATGAGTCATTGTGGTTTAATTAAACCATTGTTTACTGGAATGTACTTGAATGATGTTTTTTTAAAATGACAAATTAGTTATATTGTAGTGAATGAGAACAAACAAGGGGGGACAACCAAATGTACTTGAATATACAATTGTAGAATGTCTTTGTACAATTTAAGAACTATACAGTATAATACATCATTTGCAAAATGTCAATCAATCGTCTTAGACTTCATTGTTCGTTCGTGTTCATTTTCTCTTCTCATTCTCTTTTCTTCGATCTTCTTAATTATCTACCTCTAAGCATTTCACTTTCGATTGATGATACACATACTACTTATATCTGTCGACATCAGTAGCATACGCCACAATATGAGTACCTATATTAATAATTTCAGCTAATGTAATTGTTGATGTTAAGAACTGAATTCCGATCATAAAATTTATTCCATTGGATATGAGGTCGAGAACGGGTAGCTCGATAGTAAAGATACCGGGTTCGAGTCCCATAGTAAGTATTGACTATTGGGATGCAGGTATATCCGGCTGACAGGTCCAAAAGAGGTCAAAATGAGTGTACCCAATTTCACTGCTAGCCAATATTCATACTTATATTTATGAAATATGTTTGGGATAATTGTAGTGAACAAAGTTACAGAATCCCTTAGTAAAATCTGAGAATCATACAGTAAGTACTTCATTTTCAAAATGTCAACCAATTGTCTCCCACTTCATTATTTTTTCGTTTCTACCCCAATCGTTCTTTGTTCTCATCCACTTTTCTTCGATCTTCTTAATCATCTGCCTCCAAGCATTTCACTTTCGACTAGCGATACACATACTACTTATATCTATCGACATTAGTAGCACACACCACAATATTTTTTGTTTATCTAGTTGAACGTTTTCATGAGTATTGGATGAAAATTGTGTGTGATATTCAATATTTCTTTCTTATCTGGTTAAATATCTAAGCCAACAAATATTTTAAGAAAACAATACGAGTAGTGTACCATGATTTGTAACACAATTTGTCGCCTTATAAGCAGAGATAGATAGTGGCTGGCAACAGAATCCATGACTCGCGTTTCGTCCCACTTGAGACTCTTCAGCTGGATGTATCTGAATCCTAGAGTTGATTTTCACTCGATAACTCGAGCCCAGTACCGTTCACTTTAATAATAAGAGACTTATCCATTACAGTCTTAAACATCAATGCGAAGATTCAAACAATCAATACAAAAATGAATTCATTTGTCATTTTGTGTAGAATATGATATGATAACTTGTGTACATCTTGCACAAACGATTCCATTTCCAGATGAAACATCGAGCAAGGTTGATGGTAATGATATTCATACAGAATATTGTATGGATTTATGAGACACTTCACCACTTAATCTTCAATGATGCTCCGACGAATAAGCTTAGTATATTCAAATTTATATGTAAGTGTAATGAACAAAGACTTAGATGAGGTATGTGATACTATACAATGTATTTTTGTAAACGATGAAAACAATACATTCAATACATCATTTGCATATCTTCCTTGAATTGTCCCTTACAAACTTGATGTTCTTTCATTACTGTTGTTACTCAGACTGCTTCTGTTTTTCTGTGTCTTCTCTTTATATTTCTCTTCTTTTGTTAAGAATCGTACCTTCAATTCTTGGTACATACTACTTATATGTGCCCGTACAAGTAGCACACACCATATACACACAAAATGTGTGTACATTAAAAAGATAGAAAGCTTGATATTGATATAGTTTATAAAAATATGTATCCAAATCATCTACATCTTAGATATTCAAAAAAAGTATCCATAATTTGGTTAGATGTCCCACTTTTGGTCTTCTCTTGAGCTTTGAGTTTCAAAATTGTTCTAAAATTTGTAGCTCCTTCTAATGCTACGAGAAGGCAGTGAGTAGGATTTCCCTGTCAGTGGTTGTGTGTACGTGGCCATGTAAGAGCATTTCAAGAGGGAGAGCTGACTTTCCACACTCTCGGCATACTGGGACGAAATGGCCATCCATCTCATACAGGTTTTCAATGATGGTCTAGCGTAGACTGATTCATGAATCCAACCATTAAAAAATGATAAAAGTAACAACAATGACGATCATAAGTTTATTAATGTGAATATAAATTCCAAGTTTATTAAAACATATAAAAAAAGATCAATATTAGTGAATTTCTGTCATTCTCATTTGCCTTGAACCTCCCCCTCTTCCAACAAAACAAGTTGGTGAAGCCTACTAGCCCCTTCTGAAGAGAAACAGGCCATATCGAAGCGCGACACAACTATTGGGACTAGAATAGTTGTTTTTGTAATCGGTTGGAGTTTGTCCCATAGTGGGAGACTCTCTACATTCCATGCACCACTTTCATGAACTTTTGTCGTTTTTCAATCCAAGAGTAATTGTGCCGTGATTCTTTGTGGATTTCATAATCAATTTGTGGATATCGGTCGAGTGAGTGATTAGCCCGATCTCTAACACTCCGGGTTACCATTCACGTTAGTTTATAGGATTGAGTCTCAATGCATTGAACATGAATCGAAATTTTAAAAAAATCATTTGAGCATTGAAATATGATTACATAATAATCACCTGGCAACCTAAAAAACAGCAACAGTATTATAATACTGTACTATGTGGTGTTAACACCTTGTAACCTTAATTGATTAGTCAATATATAGGAACCATTGTAA